AAAAAAAAAAAAAAAAAAAAAAAAAAAAAAAAAAAAAAAAAAAAAAAAAAAAAAAAAAAAAACAGAGCGAGAGAGACATAAAAAATTTCCTATGTTATCGTTCCAGTTCTTGGTTTAATCGTTGTAGGGCGTGAAAGGCTCTTGATGAGGTATCAAGAGGATGCAATTGAATAATAGCGATATATCGGACTAGTACATTTACATAATTGGAAAATGCTTCTTATGATTTTTTTTTTGTTTACACATTATTATAATTTGTTATGCTCCTTGAAAGAGGTTATTAATTCTTGATATTCTTGGAAATGAGAGAGTGCATGAATATAAAAGGTTTCTGCTGGCGTTTGAACTTTCCTTTGCTAAACATGTTCACTAAAACATCCTAATAGCTAGACTTGAGATGCTGTATTGATGATTTCTATTGCTTCTGCAATTATCAGGAGAATTGCTGAGGTGAAGGCAAATGAGAGGAAAAAGGTTTTAGAAGAAATCCTATATGCTTTGATTGTACAGAAATTCATGGATGCTAATGTTCCCCTGATATCTACAATAGCCCCTTTATCTTCTGATGTTTCTGGCCGAGTTGACACTTGGTCTGCTCGTGATGAGAGCCTCGAGCATCTTCACTCGCCCGAAGCATATGAAATGATTCAGAACCACCTTGCTCTCATCCTTGGGAACAGGGTTGGTGACTCAACCTCAGTAGCACAAATAAGCAAACTCAGGGTTGGCCAGGTCTATGCTGCTTCAGTGATGTATGGCTACTTTCTTAAGCGAGTGGATCAGCGGTTTCAGCTGGAGAAGACGATAAAAGTTCTTCCAAACACGTTGAATTCAGAAGAGGGTGTAATTCAACAGGTTGCTGGAGAGGACGTGAGACCGAATATGGGAGAGAACTCATCACCTGTTGCACCACATCCTGAAATCTCTTCCTGGCCCGATCACGATGAGAACGGCTTTGGGGAATTCGGTCGAGGTATAAAAGTTTCTAGACTGCGAAGTTATGTCATGTCCTTTGATGGGGAGACACTTCAGAGATACGCAACGATAAGATCCAAAGAAGCTGTCGGCATCGTCGAGAAGCACACGGAAGCATTGTTTGGTAGACCTGAAATTGCTCTAACAGCTCAGGGAACCATCGATCCTTCTAAAGATGAAGCGTTGAAAATTAGCATCGGCTGTTTGAAGGGATTGGTTTTAGAAGCTGTTACTTTCGGTTCGTTCCTCTGGGACGTCGAAAGCTACGTGGATTCAAGGTACCATTTTGTTGTGGGTTGAGCTAATAACTCCATTGTGCCATAAGTATATGTTTGTTCTAATAACAGGAAAATCTGAGGTGGTTATACTGTATATTACTCACTACTCATGTGATCCTGACTGAAAAACTACAGAAATCTAGGGGGAGAGTTCATTTTGGGTTTTACAGGTATGTTCTTTTTCTTGCTTTGACACCTTTCGAATCGCATCACTCGACGTGTTTGGATTGATTTTAGGCCGCTAAACCTAACTCAAACCTGTTGCTAGTAGATAGTGTAAGGTGTTTAAAATACGTCTGCTAGTGATAGGTTTTCACTCTTTTACGAATAATGTTTTGTTCTATCCTTCAATCGAGGTGGGATCTCACATCACATGTACTTTCCGAATTATGCGGTAATTATAGAATCGAGTGGGGTTAAAATGTTTGAAGGTGTTGGGTGAAAGTGTGTTCGAGGGGGAGAGGTAATTGAGGTGTGTAGTCAGTAGTGATGGAGAAATTTCCCACCCATTTCTGTTGCTTTTTCTGCTGATTTCACATCCGAAAGGGAATGCGACGGTCAAACTTGGTGACTAATCTGCAAATAAATTCTATTACGTCACTCATTGGCATTTTAGTAATTTTCTATACCAACTTATTCTTAAATATATTTTCAATCCATATTTAAAAAATATTATATATAATATTTTGGTTTTTTTTTTTTTTGTATTAAAAAAGAAAAGGTAAACTCACTAGTTTTGAGACTTTTAACTCTAATTTGAACTAAAAGTTTAAAAACTGTCGTAATTATTCATTTTTTAATTTTTTAGAAGTTATATTAACCTACCTTATGAAATATTTTGATTTATTAGATTTTTTTTAATAATTTTTAAATAAAAATTATATTAAAAAAAAACTTTAAATAATTATTTTTTTAAAAGAATAATAAACGTGAAAAAAATAATTCTACAAAGAACCTGATTCCTACCCAAGAAATGGAAAATTTCATAGGAATGGGAATAATAAATAGGTGTCGACTAACTCTCAAGCATGAGGTAAACTTGAAAATAAATCTCGGAGTTAAATTAAGATCGAAAAATTGCATAGTGATGTAAGCATGGATGTTGATTCAATTAGCGAAAGGTTACGGGAGTAATCATAAAATGTAGACTAACATTTATCCAATAAACATGATGGGTCAACATTTAAGGAATTGAAAGAGAAATTGAAATAAATAAAAGAGGAGAGAGAAGAAAATCACATGGAGAGTTTGATGAAAAAAGAGAGAAAAAGATAGAATGAGAGAGAGAAACATTCTCGCAGTTATGAGAGTATGAATTTGGCAAATTAGGTTTACAAAAATTTATAATTTTAAATAAATTTAAAAAAAAAAAAAAAAAAAAAAGTCAACAACAAAATCTGAGTCTCTGATCCAATGATGTAACACCCTCCCTCAGGCTGCAATCACTTCCTTCTCTTCATGATGTGAAACCTCCTTCCCTCTTTCACTACACACAACCACTCTTCTCTCTCTCTCTCTCTCTCTCTCTCTCTTCAATTACCAAACGTTCGTGTACAACCGATAACCCGACAAACTTGGACTACTCAACCCGGACCCTAAAAATCAAGTAATTTTTTCGTTTAGATTTGGTTCAATTCTTTGAAAACGAAAAAAATTTCAAATTGGTTCATTAGTTGAATTTTCGAAAAACCGAAATCAGGGTTACAATTCCACCCTACCCCATTTCTAAGATTGTTATAAATATGAAAAATATTTGACATTTGTAACCAATATTATCTGTTCTGACTTGTAAATGTTCATGTACGAGAGATAAAGCATAATTTATTAAATAATTAAAAAATAAGGTCAGACCACCCAACCCTAAAATAGATGGTTGGGTTGAATTGAGTTAGACTGTGAACTTTATTTAAGTCGCTCGAGTCACTAACTCAATCAAATCAATTCATGCATATCCCGAACAACACTCAGTTGGCGTAATGTTGTAACCAAACCTAACAACAAAGTTGAGAAAAAGGAACATAATTGAAAGAATGAAAAAGTAAAAAACTAAACTTTTCCTCAAAAGAAAAACCCATTTTGTAAAGCAAAACCATATTTTTATGAAAAGAAATACATAAAAGAAAAAGGTAATAATACACATCCCTTCAACTAATTATATATATATATATATATATATATATATAATTTATGATAAAAAGAGGGTTTAAAAAAAATTAAAAAAAAAAATTTGACCGAAAAGGGAAGGGACAGTGGCCTAGATTTGGAGGGCCTCTGCCCTTTGCCTTAGGCTTAGTTTGTTTAGGTCAAAAGCTTGTTGGAATTTCTTTCCATTTCTCTCAATCATAAACCAATCGATTGCAAAATCATTTCCCAAACTCATTTATCATCCAACCAAATTCAATGTTTTCCAACATTATTTATTTTACCATCAATCTTTTATTATTATTATTATTAAAGTTTTTATCCTTCTCGTATTAAATAACGGTTGTATTAAAAAAAAATTCTTAAATCCACGAGCATATAGACTAGTAGGCCTTCTATTTACGTCGAAGCTTCATGAGCTGTGATGTTCCACATTGGTTGGGGAGGAGAACAAACCACCTTAAGGGTGTGGAAACCTTCCCCTACCAGACCCGTTTTAATGCTTTTAAGGGAACCCCGAAAGGAAAAATCTAAAGAGAACAATATCTACTAACGGTGGATCTGGGTTGTTACAAATGGTATCGAAGCCAGACACCGAACGATGTGTCAGCCTTCTCGCTGTTCCTCGAAGGAGGTAGACACAAGGCGGTGTGCCAGTAAAGACACTAGGCCCCAAAGGGGGTGAATTGTGATGTCACACATTGGTTGAGGAGGAGAACAAACTACCCTTTATGGAAACCTTCCCCTAGTAGACATATTTTTAAGCTTTGAGGAAAAGTCCGAAAGGAAAAGCTTAAAAAAGACAATATCTACTAGCGGTGGATCTGGATCGTTACATGAGGGCAGAGCCAAACATATAAAACGACCAAAGATCAAATAAATGGTAAAAATTGTTTTTTTTTTTAATTAAAGTATTAAAGTGTTTTATATATATATATATATATATATATATATATATATAAATCATTGTTATCTTTTTTGATTTGAAGGTAAAGTAAACATATTATATATATTCTCTTTACTAATCAGCTCTTTGCTTTAATTTCCCTTAAAATCACTTTCCTTTTTGTTTCTTTCTTTGATTCTTCGTATCTAATCATTAATCGTGTTTTATGTTGGATAACACACGCAATTTTTTTCTTAAAATACGTAAATTAAGACAAAACATGTTTAAAAAACTCGTGTCGATTTGTAGGGATAGTTTTCACTTGTAGAAACAGTTTAAGACAAGTACATAAAAAATGTCGGGGCTATGGGATACCAAATTCAAATTCCAAATCTTGGGTACGGTTTACACTAATTTTATTAATTTATTGGATAATAAAAATGATATAATATGCAAAAATATGGTCTCCACAAAGTGGTTGGCGTGTGGATTTGAAGAGAATATTTGGAAAGCAAAATAAAAAAAAAAAATTATAATGAAAATGAGGGTTTTTTTAAACAATATGAATCAGAACAAAAAACCCTTTAAGACTCTCTCTCTTCTATCCCTTTCTCTCTCTAGATTTCAGGTCAATGGGTCCACTGATTAATCATTGTTCTTGACAATTACACCCACCCAATTTATTTTATTATTTATTTATTTATTTAATATTTTTCTCAAATACTCTCTCATTAATCATTTTTGTTTAATTCTAATATCCTATTTTTAGCATTATCTTATTGGGTTTAGCGTTCACGTCTGTCACCTTTATTGTATTTAATTAAATCTAAACTTTGGGTTTTTTTTTTTTTGGGTTCAAATTACATTACATAATCAATTAATTAGCATTTATTTAATAATTTCTTGAAAAAATGGTTAATATTATCATGAAAAAGGGTATATTGTTATATATCTAAAAGATCTTTTGAAAAAAAAATCCCTTTTAAATGTTCTTATGGTGCACCGAACGCAAAGAAATGGTATCGAACCAACCTGTAAAGAACCATTTAGATTTTAAAACTAAAAAAAATATTTAACTATATATCAGCCCAAATCCACTGTTAGCAGATCTTGTCTGTTTTAGCTCATTAAGTATCGTCATCAGTCTCACGGTTTTAAAATATGTCTACTAGAAATAAGTTTTCACATCTTTATAAAAAATGCGTCCGTTCCACCCATTAATTTGCAATCCACCTTGAGAGTTTGTCCTATTTCACATCATAGTTCGACTAATGGCTACGACGCAAAAAAAAAAAAAAAAAATCACATATCTATCGTACACAAATTAAAAAAATTTAAGGTTTCATTATCCAATGTTACAGATATATTCATTTTTAAAAATTTTAAATACGACATAATAATGTAACGAACTCATGCCCACCAATAACAGATATTGCTCTTTGAGCTTTTCTTTTCGAGCTTCTCCTCAAACCTTTAAAACCGAAGATTTCCACACTATTATAAATGGTAGTTTGTTCTCCTCTGACTAATGTGAGACATTACAAAAAAAAATTCTAAAATTACGTAACATAAACCATCAATTTGGGTAGTACATATATACGTAAACCATCGAACAGTGTATATACATATACATATACATATATACTTATACCATGAACAGTGTATATATATACATATATATATATATATATAATATGTGAGAAGATTTGTTAAAGTGGTATGAGTTGATGATTGTACTAAGTATATATATATATTAGTTTAAACAAGTTTTTTCTGTTGGAAGAGGACAAATTCCCATATTTCCTTCTCCCCCTCCTCTGTGTGGTGTGTGTGCGTTCCGGCACTCATAATTCTCCAAACACCAAGGATTATTTATTAAAATAAATAAATAATAATAAAATTAATAAATATTGCATGGTGGAGAAACAAGAAGAAAGATTGAGACTTTCACACACTCCCCTTTGTTCAGCTCTCATTTTCTCTCTCTAACCCTTCAAAATTCCTTCCTTTTTTTTTTCTCTATCTAACCTAATCTCTCTCTATTTCACTTAACCCTTCTTTACTTTCTCTCTCCTCTTTCTCTCTCCTCTTTTTCTCCTCTCATCATCTTCTTCTTCTTGTTCATCTTGTTCTTTCTTCGTATCACAAAAACCTAACAAAACCCACATCGAAAGCCCTCAGCTTTTGCAATTTAAAGATGTTGGAGAAGGGCATTCTTGTTCCTGATCTATCTCTTCAAATTAGCCCTCCCATAACTGATCCATCTTCTTCATTTCATATTTGGAAGCAACCTCAAGTACCTCAAGTTGACACCGAGCTTTCTCTCTCGAACAATTCGACAGTGGCGGTCGATGTTTCCCCGGATCGGTTCCAACCCATTAGAGGAATCCCACTTTACAGTAATGGGTTGTTGTCTTCTTCTACATATTTGAACCAAAACCAACCGTCGCCATCTCCGTCGTCGTCGTCGTCGTCGTCGCTGCAGCTTCCTTTGAATTCTAGGGCGTTTCATCAACAGCCTCCTGTTGGGAGGTATAATGGGATAACAATGGAGGCTTTGAGAAATCACCAGCAGAATCAGAATCAGTTTGGTTTTCACAATCATCAAAGCCCTCAATTTGGGGTTTCGGATTTTTCTTGTAATAATAGATCGAGATTGTTCATGCCAAGGATTCAAAGCCGACGAAATGCTAGGGCTCCTAGGATGCGTTGGACTTCCTCTCTTCATGCTCGTTTCATTCGTGCTGTTGAGCTCCTTGGCGGCCATGAAAGTATTCTCTCATTCCATCTCCTTTTTTTCTTTCTCCTCTCCATCTCGTTCTCGCTCGAATTTGATGACATTAGCCATATGTATTACGATAATTAGTGTCTTATCTACTTATTCATAGATCGAACTCCGATAAATTTGATTGTTTTTACACGATCAGGGGCAACTCCAAAGTCAGTGCTGGAGCTAATGGATGTGAAGGATCTCACTCTAGCTCATGTGAAGAGCCATTTACAGGTAATTTCATTGAAAACCCACAATTTATTTCAGGATTTTAATTGAAACCCACGATTTATCTCAGGATTTTAATCGAAACCCACAACTTATTTTAGGATTTTAATCGAAACCCACAATTTATTTCAGGATTTTAAATGAAACCCACAATTTATTTCAGGATTTTAATCGAAACCCACAATTTATTTCAGGATTTTAATCGATACCCACAATTTGTTTCAGGATTTTAATCGAAACCCACAATTTATTTCAGGATTTTAAACGAAACCCATTTGATATCTCTCCTTCTTCCCTGCAAAAAAGCTTCTTTTTTTTTTGGGTTCTCTCTTTCTCTCTCTATCTCAGTGAAGAGGAATCCCTGTGGCACAGTTACCAAAGAAGAGAGAAATGAATGAAAATGAAATGAATGAATGAATGATTCAGAAGCTGAAGAAAGTGTGTATTTAGTTCACAAAACAGGACAATTTCTTGTTTTAGAGAGAGAAAGAGAAAGAAGAGAGAGAGAAAATGGCATCATTTCTCAATAATAGAACCATTTCCCCAAATTTACTTTCCACACCAAACAAAAACAATACAAATCCCCATTTCAAAGCCTCTTCTACTTCACTTTATTTTAGAGTTCCATAATAACCAAATCATTTCATTTCACCTCTCATTTCCAAATGGGTCACTCAAAAAGTTTTGATCTTTACATGTTTGGTAATTTTCATTATTCAGACACAAAACCACACATGTTTTTCTCTTTCTTTTGTTCTTAACCCTTTTCTTGTCTTCTTTTTCAGATGTATCGTACTGTTAAAAACACCGACAAACAAACAGCTTCTTCTGGTAACAAACTCCAAATCCTTACCAATCTCAAAACAAATTCTTCTTAACCCTTAATTAAACAACATAATGCATCATTTTCTAGGTTTCAAACAACCTAGGAAACATGTTTGCCTTAAAAATAATCCTCAAAATTTGATGGGTTTTTTCTTAATGGATGAACTATGAATCAGAAGGGTCTGGGGAAGAAGATTTCTTGCCTGCAACGCCAACCCCACACCATGAAGCGAGCTGTTTGCTCAATCATAGAAGAGGGTTTAGTGCATCTTTGGAGGCTGATGTTAATGGATCAGCACCTTCCATTAATAACCACTGTAACTCTTCAAGGTTAATAATCTCTCTCTCTCTCTCTACATTAATTTTTGTTGGTCTTTTATGTCTGTTGGGTTAGTACTATATGTTTTTTTTTATTGGGTTGGTAAAAAAAATTCAAATTTTCTATAAAGAGCTACCCTTTGTTGTGACAGCTTTACTTTCCCTCATTTCCTTTTTTTTCTCTTACCACTTTTCTTTGAACCCCTTTGACTAAATTTTGATGTTCCTTCATTATGTTTGTGATTTGTAAACAGTTTTGTGTTTGATTTGTGTAAAAAGTTAGTGGGTAGCATGAAATTGTAGCTTTCCTAGCTCCTATAGGTTTAATGTAGCCTTTTCAGTGTCATTTCCGAGCTAATAATCTAACAATCCAAGTCCATCGCTAGCAGATATTGTCCGCTCTGACCGGTTACGTATCGTCGTCAGCCTTACAGTTTTAAAACATATCTGCTAGGAAGAGGTTTCTACACCCTTGTAAAAGAATGTTTTGTTTCCCTCTCCAACCGATGTATGGTCTCATAATCCATCCTCTTTGGGAGCCCAACGTCCTCGCCGACACACCGCCCGACATCTAGCTCTGATAACATTTATAACACCTCAAACCGACCACTAGCAGATATTGTCTTCTTTGACTCGTTTGCTGAACTCAACCAAAAACTAGTGTCTTAGCTACCGTGTCAATATTATCAACCAGTAGTGGACTGTGACTGTTACAAATAATGCACTAATAACTATCATCTTAAAGGTTAAAGGTCAACGGTTTCAAATCGTCCCCCCTACCTTTGTTGAACTCTACCAAAAATTAACTCATCTCATAGAAGAAGTGGCATAGCAGAAGTGCAGTCTTTTGCTAGGCCATTTCCTTTTAAATTAATGATAAATCAGCTTTAATATATAGTCTCACATGCTAGCATTACCCAAACAGAAAAGCATAGGTTAAGAAATTTGGGTTTCATTTACTGTATACTTATACTATAATATAAATTATTATATTCAAATGCTTCATTATCATCACATTAATTTAATGTTTCAGAAGAGCATGGGAGCAAGCCTCTCCAACAAGAGCTAATATGTTTGGATCAGAAAATCAACCACAGGTATAAACTCTTTCAATTCTATATTTCATGTAATTTACTCCGTATATCATATGATAAGTCAAACAAGCTCGATTTGAATCATTGTACTAAGAATCACGAACCTCCACAATGGTATGACAAAATACCTCGTACCAATGAAAATAGTGTTGTCGTGGGATTATGTCTCTCAATAACCCTAAACCGTTTAATTTTTTTTTTCCAGGAATGCTATGAATTAGGTCATCCGGGGTTGAATCTAAACGACAGTCCAAGCAAGGATTTGTGTTCGAGACACAATTGGGACAACTAAATCCAACCTTAAAACCTCATTTAATTTCTTTCAATATATATATATATATATAAAAGTTGAATATAAATATAAATATATATTTATATATATTATGTATAGTTGTTGAATATGCATATTAATATATATATATTTTTTTTCTCGTATAAAGCTGTTTCTGTTGTGAGTGATGTTTGTTTGAAAAAGGAGTAGAATAAAATTTTAGTGGATTATGAGGAATATATGGAATTTGATGCTGTTTGTATTTAGCCATTTATTTATTTTTTAATATTGTTTTTAATTACTCAAAGCTATTAATTTTCTTTTATTTATTTATTATTATTATTATTATGATATCACATCCTATCAAAGTTATTTATATTGGATTCTGATTTATAGAGAAAGATTTATTTTGAGAAATGGTCGGGTATAGTTTTACTTTATTTGATCCCTTTTTAATAAATGGATTCATTTTACTTTTACCAAACTTTTTGTTTTTATTAAAATTAAATACATAAATTAATTTATAAATCACTATTTTTTTTCTCCAAAATCTATCTCTATATATATATATATAAAGAAAAAATGTCCCATATAATTTTCATTTATTCCAACAATTTTTTTAATGCCCCTAACTTCGAGCCATATTCATTTAATTTACTAATTATTAGTACTTAATTTAAAATAGCTTTTAAGAATATACCTTTTAAATAAAATTAAAATTTTCATCATCTTCTGGGTTTTTTATAATTATGAAATTTAGCGACAAAAAAAATGTAACAGATTAAATCCATTGCTAGCAGAAATTGTCAGCTTTAACCCGTTATGTATGGTCGGTAGTCTCACAATTTTAACACTCTGATAAAAAATGTTTCATTCCCCTCTCCAATCCACGGTCGGATCTCACAAAAAAAAAAAATGATGTGGAACGTGATCACTAGCTTAGCCAAACAGAGTATCTATCAGTTTTGTGACTGCTTTCGAGAAAATCTGTTTTTTATAAGAACTATTCTAATGTGAAACCATGACTTTAATCCTTCATTTTTTTTTGTTCTCACTTCTTTATTCGCAAATTCGTCACAAACTTTCGAACTCTCAAAAAGCCTCAAAAGCATTTTCAATACGAATTTTTTATGTTATTATTAATTTTCTTTTATTAAAATACGATATTCCAACAAATTATTAAATAATAAATCAAACTTTTAAAATTCATAAACTTACTAAATATAAAAAGTTTAATAAACACATAATTGAAAACATATATTTTAAAATTTATTTATAAAATAAATATAAATATCAAACTTGAGGACAATATTGTAAATTAAATTTTCTTTTGGAAAATTACAATATATATAATATATATTCTTTTTAAAAAGGAAACTTTTATGCTACACTACATGCATTTATTTTCCCTTTAATATTAATTATTTTCCTTTAATATTAAAGGGGAATTTTCAGAAATTAAGAAAGTGGGGCAATAAAAATGAAGTAACCTGCACCAGGCATTGGCTAACACAACTTCATTTATTTTTTCTGACAACCTTTATATTTATAAGTAATAAAGAATAAAACCTCAAGTGTATTTACTCATTTGCCCTCAAGTGTAATTCAATATTACAAAATTGACAAAAGTTCCTATCAGTTTTGGGCCAGGCCCAACAATCGCAATCGAAATCAGGCCCAATATTCACTTCCGTAAATTGCCACGCCTTTCGAGAACGTTATTGATATGTCCACGTCACAAAGCGTCTTATCTTATCCAAACCAACAAACACAGGTGCAAAAACACGTCGCGTCTCTCTATAGTCACACTCTAACATCAACAGCCAGACACGTGTCACAAAAGAAAACCAACCCCCACCAGGGAGCTTACACGTGGCACACACTATACCGAACTTTCAGGAAATCCACCGTCCGAATCATTCAACCCACAGAAAACGCCTTCCAACGCCGCATATTTAACACGTGTCGTTTGTTGAAAGCGACACGTGGGCCAAGTCACATCGTTCTGGAATTTTCGATTTATAATTGCAATTTTTGTTCTGGAACGTTCCTGGTTTTGGATGATTAGTCTCAAAGTTTCTTGTTTGTTCTACGTTTTTGTGGTGTAATTGTAAAATCAGGAGCCAAGAAGTGTCCAGAGAATTTGATTGGCTTGTTTTAGAGTTTTGTTCTATCTAAAGCAGAGGTTTAATTTGGGGGAAAACCTAAAATTAGGGACGATTCTCAAATTGGGCGATTTCTTAGGGCAAAATTGTTTCGGGTTTTTGGTGGTCGTTGTCGTTGTCGTTGTCGTTGCTGTTTCTGAATCTCTCGTTTCTCTGTTTAAGACTCTGAAACAGAGGGAGTAAAATTGAAACGAGTGAATATTTATTTATTTATTTTATTGAGGGAAAGAGAGACGTGAGGGTTTTCCAGAGAGCTATGGAGCCGATTGTAAAGGGGAATCCCACAGTGTTGTCGTCTTCGTCGTCGTCGTCGCTGATTTTGACCTCCGGTGCGAGTGGTCGAATAAACGCATTGTTGTCGATGCGAGCACTGAAGAGTCTGATTATGTTGGTTAATGCCTTCGTTTTGTTGTTGTTAGTGCCTTTCCGTGGCCGGAAGCGAGCGCAATCGATGGCGCTATCGGTGGCGGAAAAGCCGAGAGATGAAAAGCAAGAAAGGAAATGTGCGACGGTGCGGGTTCCGGCGACAATTGTCTCTTGGAAGAGCAGTAGCAGTAGTAGTAGTAGTAGTAGTAATAATAATGGGAACTGTTCGTCGCCGACGCCGGATGCTGTGGATCAGGAGGTGGCGGTGAGAAGAGCTCTGGCAATACGGCGGGTGGTTGAGGATAAGGATAGATGTGAGAGTTCGATGCGGGAGTTTCTTCTCTTTCAATCCCCAAGAGGAAATATGATCTTCACCCAATCGTGGACGCCTGTTTCTCTTAAGATAAGGTTAGCAATTTAATCACCCTTTTAAGAACATTATTTGATATATGATATGATTTATACACAAAGAATATTGGTTTCTGGGACAGAAAAATTATTTTGTCTAAGCTTGATTTGACAGAATTGTGAAGACCTTAGCTGCCCATTATATTTATGTGGGGTGGGGTTGGGTTGGCCCAGGATTACCGTGTCGGGAAAGACAAGCTAACGTAAACATAACTCAACTAGTTATTAGGCTCGTCTACGTCTAAATGGTAAGAAGTTTGAATGGCTCAATAGTTCCATTTGTTTTTTAACTTAAAAAAGAAGGGAAAAAAGTGTACACTTGTGGGATTATTCTATCCAATATCACAACTATTCTTGTGAAATTTACATTACTATAGGCAGTTACCATAGACGGTTGGAGAGAGGAACGAAACATTTTTTTATAAGGATATGAAAACTTCTTTGAAGGGAAACTCGAAACGGAAAGCACAAAAAAGACAATATCGGCTAGTGGTGGACTTGTGTTGTTACAAATGGATTTGGCAAACCAGACACTGGGAAGTGTGCCCGAGGACGCTGGTTAACGTTTAAGAAGGAATAATCACCGAAAATTTCTGGTGTGGCTAAAGAATATGAATACTATTGGGAGTTATTTGAAGCATGATTGTAATTAAGAAAATGCTTCTTGTTCTATAGTTATTTGAAATAGTATTTATAACCTGTAATAGTATTATGTCTTTTGTAGGGGTCTGGTGGTTCTCTTGCATGGTCTAAACGAACACAGGTTTGTGCCCTGTAACTTCAAATTACACGTTGCTTTGTTTGGACTATATAATGCATGGAAATCACACGAAATCCTCTTTAATTGTTGTCACAGCGGTCGATACAGCGACTTCGCCAAGCAACTAAATGCAAATGGCTACAAGGTTTTCGGCATGGATTGGATTGGTAAGTAGACATTTATACTTCAAATCTTTTACCACTTTATAACTCAAAAAGTTGATAGCTGAAGTCATTTTTAGTAGTTTATAGACAGTTTAGTAGGGGATAAAAGAGAATGCTGAGAGAAAGAACACGTTCCATGGACTCTGTGAGGGGCGTATTCGCCCGTGCAGGCAAATATTCTTATCTATTGATCTATTCGATGTACGAATTTAGAAGGGTTCTAAACATGGAAGTGAAAAAAGGATTGTATATTGTGATACAATCTTGCTTTTTTCTTTTATAATTACTGTTTCCTTAGTGTAGAGATTTCAGTTCTTCAACCATGCATCTATATTTGGATGTTGCAGGGTAAGGCATTTGGGATGCCGGTGCAAAAAACTTACATGTGAAGCTTCCTTTTATAGAGTAAGATTGTTATCTGATATGTAATTTTACTAGAAAAGGAGGAGAAGTTTTGGAAGATTGGTGGGGGACGCTTTGGTAACTTTTCGAGCAATGCACGACCTCGAAAATTTTCACTTAAGAAAGCAACTTGACATGAACTAAAACTCCCCCCTGAAGCCCCTCTTCTCTTCCTGCTTTGTGACTGCTCTTGTTCATTACTTTCATAGATCTTGGCTGGTTATGATGTACGACGTTTATTGAAATTCTTCGCTTCGTCTACAGGCCATGGCGGGAGCGACGGATTGCATGCTTATGTTCATTCTCTTGATGATGCTGTTTCTGATTTGGTATGTTTTAAGTGTTCATCATTTACTACTTTTGTGTATTTTTTTGACTGTTTGGACAGTGAATGTGATGATCGTTTTTGTTGGAAAACATTGCAGAAATCATATCTTCAGAAGGTTTTGGCTGATAATCCGGGTCTGCCTTGTTTCTTGTTTGGACATTCCACAGGAGGAGCCATTGTTCTTAAGGTATTATGTGCGAGTAAAGAATGGTGTGGTTATGGATATTGTATGTTTTGCTTCTGAATTGATTCGTTTATTCGTTCAGGCAACGCTCGACCCGAGTATCAGTTCTTGCATATCAGGAGTCGTACTCACATCACCTGCAGTTGGAGTTCAACCATCTCATCCCATCTATGTAGTGAGTGAAACTCTTTCTCTTAAACCTATTCTCCTTTGCTATGGGAGTTTCCTTTATTGAGCTCTTGTTATCGTTGTTTTATGAACTGAACGGTTGAGTAGAGGGAGGGAGAATTCTTAGTTGTGAGATCCCACGTTGGTTAGAGA